CATGGGGGGGGGGTTCACCGTCGACTCCGCCACTGTCGCTGCGTCTTCCTGGAGCTCGTCGGAGCTCCTCCGCCGTCGTAGGTTGGTATCCACCCCCAACCTAACAATAACTACTTAAAGCAAAACATATTATCTTACAATGATACAAAACTATTAACAAATGTTAGATCCAAGGCGATCTAGAACGTGTGTAGGTCTAAAAATAAACAAATGTGAATCTTTCGGTTTAGAGATAAATTTCTTTTTAAAGAGTGGGTGAGTTTAAAAAACAAATGAGGCGAAAAAAAAACTCACATCTACAATTCACTGTGTTGCTACATTAACATAACATGGCAAAAGTTAAAATATAATAATTAAGATATTTGGTTACAAGTACATCTAACTCTGTAAAAGAAATTACTATGAATATGAGTGAGCTCAAAAAATGGAGGGGAACTTTGGGCTTAGAGGCAGCAAAAAATTTTATGGATTAAATATTTAGTTAAAAAATACATCGTAGCTGGCCATTTAAAATAAAAAAATTACTCACAATGTATACCAAACTGTTGAAATACGAAATAGATTCAAAATAATATTGAATATTTTTTGTAAAAGTAGCTTTGGAAATGAGTGAGTTAAAAAATAAATAGTACGACTTTGGAATGAAAGTATACTAGGTTATAACAAAATACAAAAACTCACATATGATGAGTTGGTGAAAATATAAAATGAGTTTAAGATTTATTCAAATGAGTATTTTTGAATCTCAAGAGAATGACTTTAATAATAAATAAAGACAAGATTTTAGGTATATACACAAGAACTCCTTTTAGGAAGAGGGTAACTTAGAAAGGCAATGGGCTAAAATTTTGAATTTATATACAAAAATATTTTCGTTACTGCCTCATTAGCATAGAAAAATAAAAAATAACACAATGTTAAGTATTTGATTTATAAATATACGATGTACCAAAACAGTAGAAAACAACTCATATAAAACCGGGGTGGTTTATATCATTAATAAAATAACCATATTCACAAACTAACCATTTAGCCACCCTTGGATGGTATAGATTACCCTAGTAGATAGAGTATTCTGAAAGAATTTCTACTCACCAAACCACTTAGGACAATAATTCTACATGTTAAAATGAAATGTAATAACTTACATGTATAAAAAATTGCAAGAATACTTAGGAAAAAAAATCTTTGGAAAGTGGGTAAATTTAAAATAAATTAACATAAAACCTTAAACTTGTAGGACAAAACTCTTCTATCATTTGTGACACTGCAACAACGAGAAAAAAAAATCTAAAATAATACTTAAGCATTTCGTCTAAAACAATGTACACCTAGATTCTTAGAACAGAAATATAGGAAGTCAAAATGGAATATAACAACTTAAACCATATGTACAAACTATCACAAATTGAGTTTGAAAATAGGTTGGTGTAATTTTTTGACTCAAAGAGTGATTCTTGAGGTGATTTTTGAGGTGTGTAGTTTAAAAGTAAATAGATCTAATACTTTAGATTTATTAGATAGGGGAAAGGTTTGTAGCTATAAAGTCAATTTCCAGGTACAACTTATGATATAACAAATTTATGAAATATAAATTAAGTTTAAAAAATTCATTAGAGTATTTTAGGTCAAAGACTGACTATGAAGATGGAGTAAATGAATTTAAAAATAAATTACGGAATATTGTGTTTATAGCAAGAAAAATTCTTCATACGGTCCTTCATTATATTATTGTAGTTGATGGAGTATTTTAGGTTTATGGTTAATTTTTTAAGTGGGTAGACTTACAAGTAAATTAGGTTAGCTAATTGGGTTTATAAATAAAAATCCTATTTATTTATTATTATTTTTAGCTATATTGAACTAATCTTGCCGAGCTGAGAAAATTTCATGCCCACAGAGCATCATGTACTTGAGATGAATTTTTAAAGTTGTGGACTTCTAAGCAAATTGAGTTGAAAATTGGGTTGATAAATAAAAATTACTTATTGTCTTTTTTAATAAGAAGCTATTGTGTTACGCTGTAGAATAAATAGTGCTAAGCTACATTATAACCCCAATAACTTTAGTATATAGATAAAAATCCAAATAGACTTTGACATATACAATAGTTAAACTACAGTTTGGACGGGTGTAGGAAATACCCAAATTGTCTCATTGTTTGATCTATCAACCGTGCTTAGGGTCTGTTTGTTTGCACATAAGTAATTATGAAGTAGCTGAAGTAAATGAAGTAGAGGCTACTCTGCGACTTCCAAGCAAAAAAAATATGTTTATTTCTCTGAAAAACTTACTTCCAATACTTTCTGAAACGCTGATGTGGTGCCTACATGTCATCATTACTTCCAAAATATTTTTCCACCCCTCAAAGCTCGGAAGTAATTCAGAAGTAAGTGAAATGCATATTAAATAGGAAATAACTAATTTTTCTTATTAATATTTCTTTCATTGGTTACTTCCTAACAACTTTTTATCTCTATCCAAATGAAACAAGAGATTGAAGAATAAGAATTATATTTCCACTACTTTAAAAAAAATATGTGAAAAAAAAAACTACTTCAGTGAATTTTGTAGTTTTACATGAAGCCCCATCTGTAAAACTATGCGGGTCACAATGGTTTTTGAGTACATGTGGGGTTGTGATGATTAGGAGCATGATTTAGAACTTGATGAAGCCTAATAAATGTCAAAATGCAAGTTTCTCAAATTCGGAGGCAGAAAATTTTGCCAAATTTGTTTGACCAGTTGACCCGTGCAATGAAAAAGTCTGAGATCCTAGTTCATGAAAATAGTTGGTAGAAAGTTTCTATTGACGTACTATGAGCTTGCATCATCCATGTTATACATTGGCGCAAAATTTCAAATCATTATTAGGTTGAAAATAGTAAGGACGTATCTCCTATTATTTCCTTCTTCAAATTAATCATATAATTTACCATATCTTTCGAAAAGACGAGGGGATAAAAGATAACCGAAAAAAGGAAGCCAGAAGCGTTTTCTTCAAACTCAAGGTATTGATGAAAAACCCAACCTAAATTGTTCTGAATTTTCTTCCTTTTTTTTTATTTTTTTATTTACAGATGAGAAAGGCAAATTTGATGAGTTGGTTGAGGACAAGGGCGCGAAGATATTGATTGAGCCAAAGGCCTTGATGCATGTAATTGGATGACTCGTGATATTTTTTTGATGTAAAAAAGCATGACTTGAAGTTTTGAGAATTTGATATTTTTTTTGGTTAATTTTTTCGGCAGAAAAGTAGCGCCCTGGATCTTATTGAGTCAAAAGTCATAAGAGGGCGGTCGCATACAAGCAGGCGCCATGATAACCCGGTCTCCATCCGCTCAAAGCGCAACCGGTGCCTTTTGGCAAGGGCACGAGGATCCCCAGGCCGAAGCCCGAGTTTAATTAATTACTAACCCCTATCAAATAAATTCCGGGTGTGTGGATCCCACCGCCCATTCCTGTATTCAAATACATAACGGAAGACTGTACGTATAATAATATCAAGCATATAAAGGAATCAAAGGTTAACCTCGTATAGACATACGATGGATAATCTTTTTTTTAAAAGGTCTACGCATTCGAAAAAAGTACATATTCCTGTAAGATTATAATAGAAATTGCCAGGAAAGCAGTGGATAGAACACGTTATTAGCTCAATCGAGGTGATTCAAGAAAAATTGTAACTATAACGTCTACAATGCAATTATAATCGTAGAAAAGAACCCTTTTTCTTATAGAACAACTTGCTACAAAGGAAATCGCGATTCTAAAGAAAAGGGTTCACTTTTTGCAACCGAAGTTGTTAAAAAAAAAAAAAAAACTAATCGTTTTAAAGAAACAAACAGATGCAATTGCAATTGCAGTTTTTTTGCAAACAAAGTAATATGTCAGTCATCGAATGAGCAGGAGGTTGCCGGTGAAGCCCCAGCAGACTCTCTCTCTCGCTTGCAGTCCCTCGGAGTCACGACTCCGATCATCTTTCCGCCTATCCGACGCTTAACCTCGCCTCTCTTCGGCGGCAAACGCCTCCCTTCATTCTTAGGCCTGTGGGCATCAGCTCTCACTACTGTTGATTTTTCTGTAATGCACATTGGAGATGTTTTGTTATGTGTAGCCCTACGGAGTCACAGGAGTTTTTTTGGAGGGGGCTTGCGTTTGAAGCAGATGGAAATGAAATGAATGGTTTTTATAGGCAATCAACACCGGAATAAAATAAAATGAAGTAAAAGTAGGGTTTGGTGGCTAAGCACTAGTGTCAACTGCAGTGTAGAGCAGATCCCTACAAGATCTATCAAGTTGTAATTAAAGTTTGGGTTAGTTGTGAATAGGCACCTTGTACTAATAGCCGAATTGCATATAGGCCCCTATAACCCTTAAAATTGGGCCAAGATTGATCCTAGCCCGGTTTTATCCTAAACTGAGCTACGGTTATTCTACTGGGGGTGGTTTGGAGAAGAACCCGCTTAAAAGCCAAATTTTGGCTTAAAAAAAAACCGGGTCAATTCTTGGCCATGTTTTATCCAAACACAAAATAAGAAAAAATTGGATCAGGTTCAGTCTTGTCCCGGTTTTAAGCAATTGCCAAACACAGCGTTAAGTTTGTTCTTTGTAAATAATCGTTATGCACGTTTACAGTAAGTACGACAGTTTATGCAGTTCGTATGTTTCATTTCGTAAAGCCCAAGTTTAACTTGAAACTGGCGGAGTAGAGAGAATCCAGTTGCCTATCTGCAGCAATAGAAGTAAGGGTTTTTCTTTTTTTTTTTTCTTTTTTTTTCCTTTGGGGGGTGGGGGTGTCTATCTGCAATTAACCCATTAAAATTTCATTATAGTTTAAGTGCAACAGGAAATGTGATGTTGCTGTGTGTCCAACCAAATCTTTTAGAGCTTAAAGATACTGAAAGCAAGATGAGTCAACTTGGTCTTCAGTCTAAAAACACGCCGACACTTGGAAAGAGCCTTTAAAACCCTAGAGAATGGAACTGGACAATAGTTGGCGTAGAAGCATCTGGTCCCTTAAGTGGGTATGCAACAAATATTCAGTTGAAGGAATAATTTGCCGAAGCTTGCCATGTTTGCGTTATACATATAAAGCTAAAAATTCCATGAAATGAACTGGGATTATGCTACTTTGACTTAGAAACTGTGATAGTGTAGAGAAGCACAACATGTTCGGAGGTTTCTATGACGCTGAGAAAACAATGAACCATCATCTCATTGTTCTCTACTGAGATCGATAGTGTCCTCGTACGTATACTCTGTTTTCATTCATTGATCAGACATGAGCTTACTTCGTCTCACGCATCGAACACCTCCTGCAGGAATAAGCTTAAAATTTTGTCGGTTATTTTCGCAAAAAAAAATTCATTTAGACTACACTGATTATAGCAGACTCTTAGAGCTACACCTTTCCACCAGATTATAACTTGCATGTCGGTTACTTTTATCACCTTCAACCCACATCTTGTAGATGTTCACAATTAACTGAGTTAGATTTAAACAAGCAATGGATTTCAAACTGACAATTTAGTTCTGTATGAATGTTCGCGAAACCTGGTGATACTAACTCCCAGACAATTCTCTTAATGAAAATCTAGCTATCCACTCAACAGTTGTCCCGAAAAAAAAGTGCACAGGTAATTACACAGATGACACAAGTTTTCAATACCCCCCAGCAACAATTACATATATTTAGTACTAGAGTTGCCTGGGAGCAGAGACATGGAAAGATAATTATCCATTAGCATGTTTCCCGCATGAGTCCTAACTTTCGCTAGGACACATGATCACGCTCGAGACAAATATCATACATTTTGCTAGTTGTGTTTTGGTTTAGTAACAATACTATATATTGGTACCAAAATCATATAAATTTTTATGATGTACGAGTTCAGAATATCCCTAATATAATAAATTGCTCCCTAGGAAGTGTAGACTCAAAAATTAGGTTTATGTTGCGATATTATCTTTTATCTCTAAGTCAAGAGACGTAATCTCAGAAAGTGGTCTATTCAGCTTCTTCACTCTATCTGATCCTTATAGTGGATTGTAACTATTTATATTATGTTTTAATCCCATTCTTCCAGACTTTTCGTTAGTCCGGACATAGTTTGAAGAATCACATCTTGACTGTGTAAATTTAAATTTAAATATAATTTAAATTTGATGACAAATCAGATAAATTCCCCAACTGCTAATTAACCTTACAGGATCAGTGTCGTACTCTCTTTAGACGATTTGAATGGAAAACAACCTGGAGGGAAATGTTGAATATTCCAAAAGCCAACATGTCGGCTTCCACTAAGGAAGTTCCTCTTGTCTACGCTAAGCTCCACAAAGTTCCCTGAAAATAGGTTTATTAAGATCTCTCATCACAAACTTCCAATTTTACATACATCCTTTTGAGAAACCGGGAGAAGATGTACAGGGGATTTATAAAGCAGAGAAATTAGATATAGAAGTATAGAACATACACGAAAAGGAAGAGAAGATGAGGGAGAAGGACAATAGTAGGAGATAAACAAAAAGATTAAAAGACGAAACAGACTAAAATAGATTTCTGAATCATGGGGTCATGCTTCTCCAGTGTAAGGTCATACTAGAAAGATTATGCTATTACAATCAGCTTCCATCGGTATATGTACATGAATAACAACACAAGCTCTTCATAAGTTTCCTTAAATTCCAGAATTCAAAATCGAACAGAACGGGATCAAACTAATAGCGCTATGCAACACATCATTCACTATATAAACTGATTCTCGCTTTGCAGGAGCTCAGCATTGTATCAAAATGACAACATAATCAAATCAAATTAACAACAACAACAACTTACATGATCAAATCAGCACTATGCCTCATCCTCCAACTTCTTCACATACGCCTTGAGCACCATCACAACATCCCTTGCTGGTGCTTGTAGCGTGCTAACCAAACCCAATGCAGGCCCTTGCACTGCCCCAAGCAGCTTCGCATAAATCTCCGCTCTGCTTGGCATTGTCTCGAGCACCTTGAACTCATCCGGCCCATAAAACCTGCCTTCAAAAACTGCCCCTGTAAAATCGTTATTCTCCAATTTCCTCTCTTTCTGAAATGCCCTGTAACCGTAAAACAAATAGTTAAAAAATAGTTGGTTAATTTGCTCATCTAACTATCTGATTATGTTTGATTGAATGGTTCATTTAATAGTAAATAAATAAGTTGTGTCACTCTGTTCATTAAAAAAAAGAATCTAAGCTTGAGCACTTACAACTTGCGTCATGACATATGAGATATTAGGGTTATGTGCAATGGAACTCCTCCAAGGTTTCGCCAATTTTAACATTAATACCTGAATTTCTATTTTGACTCTGATACCTCAAAGTGCAAAAGCGTTGATTTTAGTTTTGTTCGAGAATATCAACACAGAAAAGCGAATGAGTAGCAAAATTTCTTCTCAAATTTCAGTTTTTTAAGCTCAGCACAAGTAAGCAACAATGTCAGGGCTTTAGGGGGTATCACATTGTCAAATCAACGTCAATTTGAAAACTCTGGGCTTACCAAATCGTCAAAATAGAACTACAGGCTATCAAAAAGTTGAAACCTTTCGCACTATTCGAATCGATTACCTGTAGGGTTTGAGAGCCTCAGGGATCTCCTCGCTCTTGACAAACATCCAAGCATTCATCCCCTTCATGCAAGGCTTCAGCGCCTCCCACTGGGTCCCCTCAATGGCTTTGCCGACGAGAGTGTTCTTGGCGACGAGGAGGGTCACAGACTCGGGTAGAGATCGCCGGAGGTCCTGGAGCTGCTTGACGGTGAGGCCCTTGTATCTGATTCCGGCGACGAGGTGGCTGCTCTCTAGGTTTTCTTTCACCGTGGAGACCGTTTCCTCCTTCCTTGTGCGGCTGATGGCGGAGCGGATCGTTAGGGCTTTGGATTTGGGGGTTTTGAGGTGGAAAGCTGGGGTTTTTAGGGTTAGGGTTTGGGGAGAGGAGGGAATTGAGAGGAGAGAGGTCTCCATTTTGAGAGGGTGAGGTTGAAGAGGGGAAAGAGAGCGGGGGGATTGGGAAATAATAATATACCACCTTATCCTTTTCTGTGCAAGGGCATTTTCGGCATGCAAAACTTCAAGTGAGAGTTCAAAGGAATCTATTCCTCTATGCAAATGAGAGACTCCCAGATTCACTATTCATACTATAGCTATATTATTACTATAGCATATTACTGCAGCAACCATGAAACTGGATATTATGGTTTTTTTTTAATGTTACTGTAGTATAAGGGGATAATGTAGCAAAGACGGGATAATGTGGTAATCCAAAAAAACTGTAGCAGTTAAAACCAGGATTTCTATAGCGGGAAAAAAATGTCGTGCTTTGCAACTTACTAACTCAAGTAAGATCGATTATGAGACGTTGAACCGTTGCGCGTTAGCAGCTTCCAGCTTACCAACTCGGTTAGCCCCTCTTAGAACATCACCATAGAGTTTTCTACAGGGCAGAAAGTCTAATGATTTGTCAATTAGCAGAAAATTAGAAATCTAGGTAGAAAAGAGAAATTTCGTAGCAATTTTGTTAAACTTTATAATTTTTCTTTTGTTAAAAAAGGACTTCAGATTTTGTGAAGAGGAAAGGAAGCAATTTTGGTAAGCTGTCGCTAGAGGGGAAGAGAGTATATCTCGTAGAGAGAAAGGTCCCATGAAGCAAAAGCAGTAAGAAGAAGAAAATCCTCTAAATAAGAGCTCATTGCCTAAAACACTTTGGTTGATATTTCACTCGCATGCATGGATCATAATTTCAACCATCTAGTTACCAGACAAAAATATACCGAAAGAGACCATTAACATCCTCTTTCACACTGCGAGAGCTGTTGATGAACAGCCAAGGTAAAGTTGAACTTTCCTTCATTTTCCTTGACCATGATCGTCGATGTTCCAGCGATAACATAAAGCTCCCACCTCAGGAAGTGTAGAGCAAATACACTAGTCTCTTGAAAAAGCCAAAAGGAGATGCTTACATATGCATCTAGGCTTAATACCGAATCATCACAAAAAGTTACCAGGTTAGCTTATATATGCTTGGAAAATATCGACTCCACAACCCCTTGAGCTATGGGATGATATGTATCGCGAGCCTCCACGAAAATCCTTTTCGCTATCATCTTCTCTTCTTCTCTAGTTCCCTGGACTAAAGCAGTATACAACGGTCGAAGGTACTTCATCCTTCCAACTTGCTTCAGAGTCTTCTCAACCTCACCAAAATACTGCTTGCATCCAGATGTGATAGCTAGCTGAAGAAATGCAACCTTAACCTCGTAGTCCCTGCTTTCTGCTAGATGATATCGTGCATCTAGAGAAGCAAGCTGCATACAGAAGAAAATAAAAAGATGTAGTGTTGTGATTATATTGATATAGAATTCTGATTGGGTTGATATTTTAAGTGTTTGTACTCAATCCTTAAAAGCACTTCAAAATAAATTGGTTAGTGAGTACTGAAAACTACTGTATCCATAAACTACCCTTAGAAATAAGAGGCAAAAACTAGGTGATAGAAATGAGAATGTTGGCAATGCATCGAAAGGACTACTAAGCAAAATGGAAAAAGGTACAGAATATGAAGAAAGGTGAAGTAAAAATGCCTTTGTGCTGGGATCCAATCCACAATCTCCATGAATGACAAAAAAACATCTTGAAAATAAAGAAAAGCCTGTTGATTCGTATAACTAACAGTTGAAATAAAATTATGGTGCTAATGTTGGAGGCACTTAGGACATCATCAAAGAGAACATGAATTCATCACCAGGACAGCATTAAAGAGGATACGAATTCATCAGCAGGGTATACCACAAGTCAGGCAGCAGTCACCATACGGTTAGATTTTTCGCTGTGCCGGAAGATGCTTCCGAAATCAATAGACCATAACATCTAATTTCAGAGTTTCCACTCATTGTCTCTAAATTACTGTTGTGAATAAAGTTTGTTATACAGTAATAGGTTATAAAATTGATGCATACTCTTTCCAGATATCGTGAGTGATCTATCTTAATGAAGACTAAGTCGTTAAGGGCAACAATGCACTGGTCATCATATGAAGAAAATACATCCACTCGTAGTAAGCTGCGTCTTTGATGGAAATAGATGATTGGGAGAATGGTGTACATTGATAGACAAATCTATTGCTAAGTTGATCTCTAGTTATATCAATGATAAATCCCTGTTGTAAAATAACGTATAACTAGAGAACAGAGCATTTCACATTATATCATCCTTAAAGGGAAGAGCTCACCTGAGAAGGATCAACAGATTTAGGAAGATTCTCCAAGTAGAGCTCCCACTCTTGTACATGCCAATCTGCCACCTCATCCTCCCTTGGCATTTTTCCAAGCTTAAATTCATTTGCCAAAGAAACGATCTTTGTATATAGAATGGATTCTGGCTCAACTGCATCGGGAGGGATCCCTGTACCTTCGACCCACAGCTTAAGATCAATCTGATTCTCTATTCCAGGAACATTTGCCACCAAAAACTCAAGAAATGTGTCTGTGTCTATTGATTGAAACTTAAAGGTTGCAATGTACTTCTTTATAAACTCATCAAATGCTGGTCGACCAATCTATGATATACGTAGAGTGATTAATTTACGTCACATTATCAAAGCGAACCAAAAGAAAAATATTATAGTGAGTTCTACCTGGCGTTCAATCCGCCAGAGAAATTGAAACCCTTTCTCATATGGCACTTGAGAATAAACATCATCAGGATCCACTCCCTGCTGATTCTGCTTCAGCTTTGTGAACTCCATATTATCCTTAAACCTCTCCATCTCGTCATTCAAACCCCTCCATCCAATCCCAATATTTAGAGCCGCTCGTTCCTTTCCTTGCACTACCTCGACAATTCTCCTCTCTGCATATGTCGTGAAACCCTGTAATTTCAAAATCACGTACCAGAAGGCATAATTTCATTAATTTATTCATCTGAAGAATAGATACATGGACTATATGAAATAAATATAATGTATTGAATCGAATAACTTTTTGAGAACAGTTTTGCAGCCCCTTGCAAGATTTTAACTCATAAACTCACATGCTTGTGAACAAAATTTCTTTGTAGGGTACATTAGAGTAATAGGATTGTAAAAGGTTGCTTTTTAGTAAATACAATGAAGCAACTTATAAATAAAATAAATATATGTACCTCATTGAGCCAGAAATGCTCATTAGTCTTGTTTGTAATAAGGTTTCCCGTCCAGCTATGAGCGAGCTCATGAGCTACCACCTGCATAGGCACAGAATGAGAATAATCCATCAAGATTAAAATTAAAGTTACACTTCAACAAATAATAAAATAAGTAAAATATCACAAATAAGATAGAAATGTTTCCAGGTATGAAAGATTCTATTCAACAAATAATAAAATAAGTAAAATATCACAAATAAGATAGAAATGTTTCCAGGTATGAAAGATTCTAAAAGACGACGCAGTTAAATAAAAAATTATCACAAATAAGATAGAAATGTTTCCAGGTATGAAAGATTCTAAAAGACGACGCAGTTAAATAAAAAATACTGTTCTTTCTTAACAGAAGCAATGGCTTCAATTAAAGCACAATAATAACTTTGATCTAAACACATCATGATGTTTTTCAATACTTATTTACATCAGAAATGTTCATGAAAGAAATTGAAGAAATGATTTGGCTCAAAACTCTTTTCCTGTGAAAGGAAAAAGGATTGCAACTAAGCTCTTGTAGCAACAATGCTTTGCCAAATATTCAGAAACAATTTAAAATGATAACTTTAATACGAAAAACAAACAAAAGAACGATGAAGTAACAAAATATTTACAACTCCAGGACAACTGCCGCCAGTAATTAATCTGTTACAAGGACACTTCTGTGTATCAACCTCTATAAATTTCAAAAGCTTGTGAATGGAATGTCCAATTGAAATAAACGCTGAATATGGCTAATCAAACTAAGCGAAAAAAATCATAATAGAATAAACATAAAGAAGTATACAGTCTCGGTATCTTTAACCAACAAGCAACACCAACACCAATCAACATTTACCCAAAGTTAAACTAAACATAATATAATTCTCAAATGCATATACTAAATATTCAAACTTATACCTGAGCTCCGGTGGCATCCCCTTTGATCACCGTTGGTGTCAAGAAAACCATCCTCGGATTCTCCATCCCTCCATAAGGAAAGCTCGGTGGCAACACCAACAAATCAAACCTCTCCCAGTCATACGGCCCAAACAACCCCTCCCCAACCCTAATCATCTCCTCCGCCCCCTCAAACTCCCTCGCTGCCGCCTCCAACACCTCCCCTCCTCCCTCCGCATACACCCTCGTCCTCGGCCCCACCTCCCTCTCCCCAATCACCCCT